ACAAAAGCCAGGAGGTGGACCAGCACTGCCACCTGCAGGTGGAACCCCGGAAAGCAGCTTTCCCACCCTTAGTGGCCTTGTGCAGCTCAGTGACTTGCAGAGGCCCAGAGAAGCATGTGGTGCTAGGGGGAGCCTCTCTGTGCCTGTTGGATATGTCTTTGCACAGTGGATAAAGGAAGCACCATTTTTCTTCTCATTGCCAGCAATAGGACACTTAAGATTCAAAGGAAACTGTAGTGCATGGAAATGCTTTTTTCCAGCTTGTGGAGGAGGGAGAAGAGGCGTCGCCGTCTTGGACCCTTGAGTGTGACCGCTTTGCCCAGTGGCATCTTCCAGGCTGACCAGATCCCCAGGTGTCCATCCTCCTTGACAGCCAGAGCCAAATGCACGTGAGGATAAGGAGCAGGGAGGGCTGACTTTGCTCTCCTGCCCGGGCAGCTTGTTCCAGAATTCTCAAGCCCTTTCCCTCCTGGAGATGGAGCGCTTTGGGGATTTGGGCAGATGCTCACACCACAGCAGCTGAAAGTGAGCCGTAGCAGCCACCAGTCCGAGTGGAAGAACATGCTTACAACAATTCCCAACAAAGAAGGGAAGTGGGTGAATCTGATGACAGAAAACCCTGACTTTCCTATTTCCAGCAAAGGGTGCCTTGTAGTTCTCCGTCAGTTACAGGGAATAAAATGCAGGCTGGGGAGCAGAAGGAGGGGAAAGCCTGGAATCTTTGGCCTTCCCTTAGTTGTCCCTGGCAGCCTTCAGGGATGCTCCGGTTGAGTGCAGGGGGAAACAGGAGGCGTGATGTGAGAGCAGGGAAACGGGCATCCCAGGAGCTGGTGCCAAAGAGGGAGAGTGGGAGCTTTGCCCAGGAGCTGTTCAGAGCAGTTGAAATGGCGCCAGTAACCGACGGTTCTGCAGCCAACGGTGGGACTGAGCTCTCTGCTGTTTCTTCCTGCTGCCCCTTGCGGAGGGAGACCGGAGGTTCTTGTCTCAGTTCCCTACCAGAATCAACCACTGTGAGACACATAGTTGTTGTTCTCCCAGGCAGCACAGTAATACTCAGCCTCATCTTCAGCCTGGGCATTGGTGACGGTTAGATAGTTGGGGTTCCCCTGATAGCCGGAGCCTGAGAACCGATCCGGGATCCCTTCTCCCTTGCTGCTTCCATACAGCAC